TCAAGGCGGCTGGGCCAAGCCACTCCCTCCAAACTCTGGTTAAACTCGTCGCCAAAGGTCAAATCCTGGATGCTGCTGGGCCAATGAACTCCCTTCAAACTCTGATTAAACGCATCACCAAACGTCAAACTCTGGAGACCCGCAAGGTTCTTCAGCTGGCTTGCATCATTCAAGCCCTCTAGCTGTAGTATCCCTTCCAGAGCCATAGACTCATCCTCAACCGGGAATCCTTGGATGCATCTCCATGCCTCTTGCAAGTTCGCAGGCTCATAAGCGTAGGACAAGGAAGCAGATTGACCTTCCGCCAGCCCTTGCTCCGTCAGAGTCTTTTGCAACGCAAGCTTCTCAAATCCTTTCAGCACTGCGACTCTTGCTCCAACTTTCCATGGAAGTCGATCACGAATGATTTTTCGAATCTCAGAGCCTGTCATGGACTGCGACACTTGGATCTTGAATCCCTCTCCATCCATGCCCACCACCTGAATCTCCAAAGAATCATCCAACGGCCGTTTTCGCCCTCGCGCAAGTGCGTCCGACATGGCACAGGCGGAACTAGCACACCTCTCGGATGTTCAGGAAAAACAAGCAGCTATGCGTGGTCCAGCGTTGCCAAGCCAAAGCCCACCTGTAGGAATTATATGGGTGTGTTTTAATAGAGAGACCCCCAACCAATGGGCAGGTCTTTTTGACTGGTCCTTCTTCCATCTTCGGTCGTTAACGGGGGTTGGTCTCCGAGCGGGCGGCCTGAGTCAAATCCATCTATGACTGCCGCCCGTTCGCTTGAGCCATCGCTCCCAAGCCACCGGCCAGGCGACTGGAACATCAGATGTCAAGCAATGCACAAATGGAACCCAGATTGGTCTTGATGAATTAGCTCTCCTACTCCTGACTTCGTCACATGCCCCTGTTGGAAACCCACCAGCCTGAATTCAGCTATGTGTTTTTAGATGGAATCCCCCTCATGAACCCAGCAGCCCAAGGGTACCACCCGCACCGCCCAGCACCATGTGGCGCTGCTCACAGCCTTCACGTGGATCCCATTGAAACAGCCGTGGGTCTGTTCACCAGCCCTAAACAATGGTACCTTGACCTCCTTAGCAGTCTATTCTGTTCATTTGATCAACCCACAAAAAAAAACAGCGCCACGTCGATTCATCCCGCCTGCTGAGGATCCTGGACAGCACCCGCATCCGGAACAGCTTCCTGCCGACCCGGTGCGGAGAGCAGGAGACCCGGTGCGAGTGCGGGCAAGGGGGGAGGGGATGAAGGCATTGGGAGAAGGGGGTGGTCAAGAGTTAGCTAAGAACGCAATCCTAGTGCCTTTGAGATGTTTAGCGGTGGTATACTGTACAAGAATGGTTTTCTGACTGCCCTTGAAACGTGGATATTGGACTTTCTTGTTTGGAGTGTCCTTCGGCTGATGTCTCAAAGTTGTTTCCAGTGATTCCAAGAGTATTTCGAGGCAAAGTCCTGCAGAGGGCCAGTGACGACGCTATACGAAGTCTCATCGGTGACACCACCGGATCCATGCATCCGATGTCAGGTTCCGGGTTCCAATCAGACTCCTTAAACTCGTGGGAGACACCGGAGACACCAAGCAGCTTTACCAGGAGAAGCCTATAGGGGTGCCCTGTCTGGAAGCCTATAGGTAGTGTGGGGTACTTCATTGGACACCCCTTTGTGACTCCTGGTACCAAGGATTTACCCCCTTCATCTGTTCAACAACCCGCCCCGCCAGCTCCACCACGAAAAATCGCCAGATCCAGATGGAGTTTGAGGCCCCTGATGCTCTTCCACTCTGCTTTGCTGCGTTTTCTATAGGCTCCTGCCTCGTTGCCTCGTCCCTCGGTCACGTCGTCGCCGGGAGCGTCGACGACCTGGTGACGACCAAAGAGTCAAAAAGCGCGTGAATTCATCAAAGCACTGGCGAAGTAGGTGTTCAGTTACTGTTTTCCTTCAGGTCACACAACAGTTCAGGATCACTACAGGACCGTTCTTCCCTGAAAACATGGCCACTGCTTTTGGCCCTTCCGTGCCCAGTGGCGGCTTGACCAGCTCGCCAAGTGTGAGGCAAATGTTCTAGAACTAACTGTACATCGATCGAGCTTCAGCATGATTTAATCATTTTAAGGACCCGCACAGTAGACTCTTGGTTCGTAAAGCCCCTTTTGAGACATGGATTGAACAGCTTTTTCATGTACCCGGTCGGTCCATGTTCCTACTTTGTAGGGTCCCGGGAGTTTCCATAGAAAGTGCTCTTAAAAGGTACGTGCTGGGCGCACCTCATGGCTGATGTGTTTTTAAGGTCCCGGACCTTAAAAAGTACCCCTATGGATGCATCCGTGGTATGTATGCCAAAAAAGGACTGACCATGTGCGCTGTAAATGGTGGGACCGGGAGCAAGCGTGAGAAACCGTCTTCAGCAGCACTGTGATTGCTCAAAGCTCTCAAGTAGATCTATCTCTGCTTTGGCTTGTGCAGCGCTACCTTTCATATGGAACAAAAATCAAAGCTCTTTTGGACAATGGGGAAAGGAACCAAGGAACAGCTGGTGCAAAAAGCGGACAGCTGATGGGACCCCGTTCGGCCGTGGAAGATCGGCGTTGAATCTTCGGCGAAAGTACTTTTTTTGGTCCACTTCGTCTTGAGGACTTACTTATACAAAGGTCCCAGGACTTCCAGGCCCATAGGGTCCAGGTACCTCTTGAGGATGGTCTTGAAGGTGAAAGTACTTCCAGAGAATGGTCTTGGGGGGTCAAAGGACATCCTCAGGATGGTCCTGGGCCCTTAGAGAGGGATATGGAGTCTATCGAGGAATTTCATGAATCTCATATCGCTGAGAAAAACTCCATGGACATGAATGTCACTCATGACCATGAATTCTACCAGGACCTTCCTGTCGGGGTGCCCTGTCTGGAAGCCAGACTGGGTGAGGTAGTCCAGCCAGGACACCCCTTCTTGGAGGGTCCAGGGATATGGAGTCTACCAGCACCCTCCAACAGGTCTAAAGAGAGTTGTTAGGCCTAAGAGGTCTCAATTGGTGACCTGTTGGAGGGTGCTGGTACATGGAGTCTATGTGCATCGCTGAGAACACCTCTCGCAGCCTCTCAACGTCGCACACCCTCGACCCGACCCTCTCCGCTCGGCCTGCGGTCCGGTCTGCGCCGCACCGGAGCCCTCGGTGTCCGGCCGGGCATTCGCCTCCGGAGCGAGAACGGGGCGAAGGGGGGGTAGACGAAGGGGTCTAAGATGGTCCTGAGATGATCAGATATATATATATATAACCTAGAAGTCCAAAGACTATATTTTGACCAACTGAAGTAAAGCATATTCTTTTTCGGGTCGCCTAAAGACCATTCTTTTGATAGTCTTTGACTCCCAGGGTCTTTGGGGGTATTTCCTGCTAAGTGGACTTCTCAGGCACCAACACAACACAAACACCACTCATCAAGAAAGATCCCATGATCATCCACGCATCTTAAGGACTTAAAATGACTCAAAATATCCAATTACGCCAGCATAGATCCCAGATCACAAAAATATGTGTGGGCGGCAGCAACAGCACCCGGCACCACCCAAGCTCCAAAGCGCAGTGTCAGCACCTCTTCCTACAGACTGGAAATAAGAACCCCCCATTCGCTCTTAGCTCTCCTGAGCTCACCGGATCGCCCCCCGTCTCGAGCCTCCGGCAGCTCCGTCTCCACCGGCTCGGCGGCGGCGGCATCGTCGGCGGCGGCGGCATCGTCGCTCGCGTCGGGCGCCTGGCGCGGCGACCGCGGCGGCGCGGCCGTGGCGGCCACGGCCGTTCCAGCATGAGATCGCCTATACCCGCATCCTCACTGCCAGGTCTCCTCCGGTTTTTTAGAGGGCTGTTAGGCCCCAGATCTTAATTGGTGACCTGTTGGAGGATGCTGGCACTGAAGTCCACTTCCATTTCCGTTTGTGTGAGAAACTTCAATGTGAAAGGAAAGGACTCGAGACTCGGATAAAACCAATGGTCAGACGCTCCATCTACGCCATCTATGCCTACATTGGGGTGGTTTTGGGGGTCAATGTAGGCATATATGGCAGTCCCATTAGTCGTGTATGGGCATGGTCAGACTGTCAAGCCCCCTTCCAGACTCGTCCACTGAACTCTCAACACTGAATTCCCGCTGAGGTGTTTCTTTGTATTCGACGCCCGTGGCGGCGCACCCCAGGCGATCCGAGGTAGACGACGATGGCACAAATTGGATCAGCTTGGCGGGTATCGTTTTTTGTGTTTTTGGTGTCGCTTTCCATGGCTTCTTCAACAATATCTGAAGTTTTTCCATATCTCTATACATACTGCTGAGGTGAGCCCTTTCGATAGTTGCTCATATATGTTCTGACCGCATAATCCCGAGTACCTATTTAAAAAGCCTCCCCAATTAAGAAAACACCACGTCCGAAGCCCTAAGTTCGGCTTATATTATATATAATATATGTGTTTTTAAGTATTGCCCTTTCGAGCCGCGACTAAACTACGAACATGGTCGATTTTGGGGGTAGTTTCTTTTATTAGGTTCCAAAAACAACCGTAACTGCCCACATCTGTCCGCCCTGTGTATCCACCATGACACGCCGCGTTTACATCAGCAGGTGTTCCTTCCTCCAATGGCACGGACTCACGCAAGCGCACTTGCCACCGAGGTCGTGCAAAACCGCATGGCACAGCGACATCACCTTTCGAAAGCTTTGGTTGTTAGTCTAATGAAGAATCAGTATTCTAATAGAGGTTTTTGTAGGGAAAAGGAAGACCCTTCGATCTGGAGGTTTTTTTAATTTTGATACGAGTTTAATCAAGAATGTTATATAAAATGGTCCTACCATACTCGCTGATTTTACCACGTCACCCCACCGTGGTGAACCACAGGCCGGCCGCTGGTTCCCCGCGCCTCGAAGAGCGTCCGAATCTTGGTCACCACCACCTTCACCTCGGCCGGACCGGACGGCCGCTGAGACGGAGCCGCTGAGGGCGGGCCGCGGGAAGACCATACAAACGAAGCTATAAAAGGAAATGATCCGAAGGACGAGGAATCAGTATGGCAATCGGTTGGATCCTTTTATCCTGGCAGCGAGAACCTCAAATAGTTGGTGATGATCGTTTATGTACCACCCTCCTTACGAAGTTGGGTTGACCCGAACAAGAGTTTCAACTGGCGACCTGTGCTGGTCGAGGACTTATGCAACTTATGCTTTGGAATCCAAGAGATTCCAGGAGATTCCCCACCCAAAGAGGAGTGTGGGGTTGTTTGATTTCACTCTCTTGCAGTTACCAACCCGCACGTTACCTCATGACTCTTTAGCGCGCAACATGAGCGAAAAAGAGAATCCACATTGCAGACCGCCTTGTGCGCTTCATCATAACCGAGCGGCTGAGAAGGTATGGATAGGGCTGTCGCGTTGAGAAGGCAAGAGACGAAACATTTTCCCCAATTTGCCTTTTGATGACTCTGGGTACAGAAGTAATATCCATGCACGAGGGACATGCGACTGTCCAAGACACGTGCAGGAGCCTTCTTGATAAAGCTAAACATGTTGGGCCGGGGTTTGGCAAAAAGTTGAGGGCGAACCAGCACGTGGCAAAGTGGTTTCGAAACTATGGTTAGAGGTTGGTAATAGCACAGCTGTCAGTGTTGCAGTCTTTCATCGTGAACGCAATTCTTTCTGTGAATAGATTCCAAACGCAGCGTCGCGGGGGTTGGGTGAGCGTCCGCGCTTGCGCTTGGGGGCTGACTGGCTGGGTTGTGTGGGCTCCCTTCTTGTCTGAAGCGAAAAAAAGGCAGTCAGGATCCGAGCTTTTGCATCCCAAATAGCGCGTGGAAGATGACACAAAAGGCCAACGCCTTAACAGGCCTTAACCAAAAAACGTGGGGAGGGTGAGGTGAAACTCTTTTTGGGGTGGGAGGGGGTGGCCAAAAATGCGTCCCCCCCTCCCCGTGTTCATGGTTAAAGGGGTGACGATCCATCAATAAAATATACGCCTCCCGCTCCACCGGCCGAACCACGGCTGCTGCTATGTCCGCACCGTTTTGTTGCGCGGCATCTGACTCAATGTCCATGACACCCGCGTGTCCCACAAACCTTTAAAAACCAATGAAAACGTCTGTGGGGTCATGTCATTTCATGCGCGTGCAGTGCAGTCAAGCGCAGCGCCAGTCTGTGTCGCCAGTCGGACTCCTCTTCACATTGGTCTGAGGCTCACGCATACAGCTCATCCGGAATGGCCTCGCGAAGGTCGGTGGAGTTCGCCGCGCAACGGCCGGGGCGGAGACGAGTGAAGCACCGATTGGGAAGGTATCCATAGAGCAAGCCATCACATTGACATGGCAAAGACGGTGCGTCTCGAAGATATGTTTGACTCGCTGACCAGTTGGAGTCATCTTGCGCCCCTTAGGACCAGTGATGTGTTGGATGATACAGGACATCAATGTCTTTGGGTACCTCGATCGCATCTTACAGATTCGTGAACAAAAAGAATGAATGGCCACTGAGCTCACATTGGCCACCGGGTTCAAACCAAAAGAAACCACGCGCCACCGGTGTTTTTCGTCCAAGACATGTCCGAGGGGTGCTTTGGATGTCACGGGGATGCTGTAGACGCTGGCATGTCGACCGTTGATAAGACCTCCCCCCGTTTTCCAGAATGGTTTTACCTCTCCAGGCCGGGGTGTGCTGAAAAAATCCAACCGACATGGATGAAACCCCAAAAACACGCCCCCACAAGAGAGCCAAAGGGATCGTGACCTCTTCATCTTAGGCCAGCATCACCCATTTCGGGTGGTTAGATGGAAAAATTCATCGTCAGGGGGTGACTCTAACCACCTGACACGGGTGGTGCTGGGTGCTTTTACCGGAACTTGGCCTTGACATGCCTTGATTCCTCCACCCGCGCCATCTCCACGTCGCGGCTCGCGCCACGACCCGGTGCAGGGCTCCACGTCAGCTTCCGGGACCCCGGAAGCTGTCTGAGCCACTGAGGTTGGAAGAAAACATGAAATCGTGAGTCATGAAGAAGGTCCGAACCCCAACACATGTCAATCATTACTTCCCCTGGGAGTCAAAGACTATAAAAAGAATGGTCTTTAAGGGAACTGAAAGGAAACTTCCTTTACTCCAGCCGGTCAAAATATAGTCTTTAGACTTCTAGGGCTTCTATAGAGTTCCTGAGACACAACCTACAGTAACAAGCCTCCACGAGCTGTGTGTGAAGAACGCCCGAGGGAAAGGCGGAAGGCCCTTCCTGCCTCGCCAGCCTCTAGTAGACTGTTGAGTTCCAAGCCAACCACCTTCCGTCAGCATGTCGACACAAAGGTGCGGCAAGCAACTGCGGGTTGCCGAAACGGAAGAACGAATCAACAAAATCAATTGACTTGCAGGCAAGGGAGTTGCATCCTCAGATGAAAAAGATGGATGAAGATAGGACGTCAAAAAGCAGGGAGTGCTTGATCATGCTCCAGCTGCAAACGGCTGATGAATGAAGTTCATATCGATGAATTGCTCAGAGCCTCATCATGTTGAAAGGGGAGCAACATCGGTCCCATGCTTTGCAGTTCTTTGAACCTTGGCTTGGCATCTTCTCTCTGGTGCTGGGTGGTAGCATCCCCCAGTTGTCAGTGGAGTGGTCTTCTCTATCAGCAAGTCAATGTGCTAATGCCGTCTACAGGGTTCTTCATTTGATTATTAGTGTTGTTTTGACAGCGGCTACAACTCTACCTTCAATGTGGCGTGCCTTGCCATCTCGAGGTTCGGGGTTGCACCCGGCTCGCGAGGTCCCTCCGTCCCTGTGAGGTCCCTCCGGCCCGAAGGTCTTTCCAACGTGGGCAGCCAAAACCGGATCTCCTTCAGTCAGCGAAGAAGATCCTACCAGCGATCGAAGAGTTCAGTTATCATGCTTGCACTTGGCCAGCGATCGAGTTCAGTTGCACTTGGCCCCTGCCCCCCGAAGTGTCTCCCTAAAGTACACACCCAAATGGTTTCAGTCCAGGCATTGACGGCTCAAAACGCCCCGTCGCGAGCCGCGCCTGCATTTCGCCTCGGATGTTCAATCGAGCGAGGACAGGCCGAGCGAGGATGTTCGGTGCGGAGAAGAGTTCGACTCCGTCGCTTTGAAGAACTCAATGCATCTCAGTGCATCCCATGGTTTTTAAGGAACCAGGGGCCCTCGTTTGGTCGTTGCCTGGTGTGAGTCGTTCGACCAAAAAGCACTGGGACTCCAGCGACATCGTGGGAGCCTGGATGTTCTGGGGAACTCATCTATCCATGCGGAAGATCTACAGACTTCCCGGCACAATGCCGCAGAGGTGCCGCCCCAAAGCCCCCGAAGTTGGGTCGGCGGGAATAGATTCTTGTTACTAGTAGCGATGCACATGTTTGTGCATGTTATTACTATAGTAGCTTGAGTTTATATCTAAGTGATCCATAAGCACCTTGAAGATGCCAGACTGACCGACTAGAAGGGGCACGGAATGTTGGATGCCAACATCGTTCTTATCGACTTTTCACATGAAGCTTCAGTCCCAAGAACCCACCCCAACGGAGCACCACCCCAACAAGCACCCGGGCGATTGATACGCTCCCGGGTGTAGTCATCGGGTTTGCCTTCGCTCCAACCGGAGACCCCGAACGACCGCTGTGACGCCGACCCGAACGAAGGCGAGAGAGGACGCTGACGCGGACGGAGCTGCGGGGGGAGGGGATTTGACACGGAAAAAACCATGTTTTTTTTGGGCAGCAGCGGATCTCAGTGAGCTAGAGTAGCGTCAAGGATCTCAGTGTAGAAAGCCTCTGGTTTGAATTCTTTTGGAGGGAAATCAATGAGTCCGTAAGTGATTTCTGGTCCCCTGGAGCAGCAGCACTGTTATACTCCAGTCTTCCGTGAGCTCTGCAAGGTGTCCATTAACATGGGAGGGATTGATGGAGAGGGTCGCAACGGAAAAGGATGGAAGTGGGCCATATGCAGATCATTGCTGATAATACATGCAACTGACAAAAGTCCTACCCCAAAAGCCATGAAATCATTAGAAATCCATGGCATGGCATGGGGGGACTAGGGCAGGAACGGCATGTCGTTTCCCTGTGTTTTTTTGGTTCGTCCCGTTTTGAAGGAAACCCCCACCTTTGGCTTCTAGGAGCACTGCAGCAGCCAAAAGAAAGGCATCTGTTGAACCCCATGATGAGGGAGCTCTCTGGAGCCAGAAACCAAGACACTTCGGCCCCAAAGTCGCTTCCTTCATGCGACGACATCAGAAACACCATAAAACACCCGTTTTTTTCTTGACCCCGAACATCCGGACCTGTTCATGTCAAACCGCCACGCCACACGACACCTCACACCGACACACGACGACACACCCATTCTGTTCGTCTCGACTGGGTCCCAAACTGGCGGCCAAACACTCTCGCACCACCTCGTCCAAGTCGATGATCTCGCCGACGCGGCGCGGGGAGCTTTAGCGGCACGGCGCCGGCGCGGTCGGCGCGGCCCGGCGGCGCCGCCGAAGCAAGGACAGGGACATCAACCCATCCGAACAAAAATATGACAAGATGGGTCGGGTCGGGTCAGCTTCTATTTCGAAACGCTGGCAAACTCGTATCCGTCGTATCCCAACACATGGAGAAGCGTTTGACGCGCCCCCCACGGATCCTGCATGTCTGTTGTGCGTTCTTTCGTTGGGAGAAAACCGGCACATAGTTGGGCTGCAGAGGCCTAGCATGTGCGTGCACATGAATTTGGGTATAATGCTACTACCCTATGTGTTATGTATTGCTCCTGCTTGGATCAAGGACTTCTCCGATTCTCCAAACATATCTCCTTCGTTGGGAGGTTCAGCAGACCGCTGTGGGAGCGGCCAAGCAGTGGCGCCTCCAAGTTGTAGGCCTCGGCCAAGCGCCGAGCCACCGTCTTCTTGCCTGCCCAGAGAGCCGGAACGCCACCGCCAGACCGCCAGACGTATGGTGTTTCCCCCACGAAAGGAACCACCCTGCCGCTCACGAAAAAAAAGGCTCCAGATGAGAGAAATGAACCTTACAATCACATCCCTATAAGAATGATAAGGGACAGATATTGTAAGACTATTATTGGGATGTTATGCAGCGATCTATTTCTTGAGGAACTCCAATCCTAGAGATAATCCTCTCATCCGTTTGATCATCTTATCATAACTCACTCGCATGGAATGAGAAAATGCCTGGATGGAACACATCTGTCCTTACTTTATGCCTTTACTTTACAGGCAACACTTGTGATCAGGTATGAGCTGATCACCTGGTAGATCAACGGAATGAGAAACTCAAACAAAGGCACACAAAGGCACGATGAAGAATGGTACCAGGAGTCACAAAGGGGTGTCCAATGAAGTTGCCTATAGGTAGTGTGGGGTACTTCATTGGACACCCCTTTGTGACTCCTGGTATGTGAATCAAAAAATGCAGAGCGACCTAAAACGGTGGTTCCCTTTGCCGGAATCGTGTCTTCTGATGTTGGAAGCCTCCCGTGTCGAAATCCTCGATCGGCCATGGCCATACTCAGGCGGAGAAGAAAGACGTATCTACGACGACCCTCTCCACGGTCCAAAGGGCATTTTCTACTAGTAACAAGGACGCATTCTTAGGTGGAGGCCATCGCAAGTAGGTTGGAGGCCATCGCTAGTGGGAGAAAGGACGCTACTAGATTGGAGGTCGTTTCGTTCTTTTTCGTCTCGGTTTTGCACCGGTACGGGTCGCGCGCACCTGCATAGGGCTTTCCGGTGATCACCAAGCGCAAGGGCACCTCAAGTCGGTCTCCCAAAAAGCGGCTGCGGAGACGAACCGGGCGGAGAAAAGGCGGGTGGCCCATGTGCAAGGGCAGCTCGGGGGGGCAAGTTCTGATCTTCATTGCGACACCTCAACAAAAGAATACCTCAGCAAAGAAACAGCTATGATATGTTGAATGTCCGATCCCAATGCCAAATGATGTAATTATATCAGAATCATTCAGAATCCCTTCGTTTGAACGCACCTCCGGCATGCTTGGTGGAGGCTGCGGCGGTGGCTCCTTGTACTTCCTGGTCAGGCGTCGGCAAGGAAATGGATGTTTTTTCCATGTTTCTCCCTTCGCTCGGTGGTCACCAAGAGTCTTTCCACTTCCATGTTTGGTCATTTTGGGTTCTAGAATTCTAGATGGATCTGGAACCCAGATCTATCCCTTCCAAGGACAGTCGCACTGGTCACGACGGTCTGGCGCCACCCCGGGACCCAAACCAGCAGTATCCAGCAGTCACGTTCGACCACGTGCGATCCATGGAGGGCACGGGACGTGCCCATTGGCACATCCACGAGCACTGGATGGGACGAGTCACACCACCCCGACATGTGGCCTGAGTTCACAACCATCACCCAGTAGGAACACCAAGCCGGAATGGCATAAGATCCTCACCAAACCACAAAACACCATCACCTGCGGCGAAACACTCCGAGTCCTCTCAGTTCAACCCCGCACACGAAACCGTGCTTCCTTCCACACCCGAAGTGTCTGCGAACCGTTCGATCACCGTTCCGACCGACGTCCACGCGACCTGTCGATCATCGAGGCGACGACCACGCCAAAGCGGTAGTTCACCTCAAAGCGCTGCCGAGCCGAGCTCCGAGCGTAGCTCCGAGCGGAGCGAAACCCGCCCGAAACCGCTCGTCCCACGCGGAGCCTCGCTCCGAATGTCCAAGCGTTCGTCCGTCGGTCGAGGAGGAGTTTCGACGCGTTCTCGACGTGTTTCGCTCCGTGAAGCGAAACGGGCGAAATGAAAGCCGAAGTCGGGTACGGAAGAAGAGCGCGGCGCTGGCGGGACCGGAAGGCCTTTCGATCGGTGGGTCGCGCTACGGGACCTCGCGGTGTTGGGATTGGGAACTCCTAAGCCTGGAACCCGTCCCAACCAGAAACAAATGGTTGTTCCAATATGGCGCCAGCTTGAAATCCTTTACATAGGGAATGGTTGGGACTGGGGAAACCTCCATTTCTTTCTGGTTGGGACTGGGGTTCCAGGAGGGACATGTTAGAGGAACGAAGAAGTACTGGCGCCAGTCCAAGACCAACCGCGAGTCCCAGAGACTCTGGAGGACTCCAGAGCACTCCGGAGATCCGTCTGCGTGCCTTTCGATGTGGACACGACAAGGCCAACGAGGTGGACGCCCACATGGGTCACGAATGGAATACTCGGATATTCTGAGACTGAGGGGGTAGAGATGGGTAGATACGTGTCCACAAATCTCTGCGAAGCTGTTTTACGGGTTGCTTGAATGACATGAACTTGAAGCAGTAACAGAACACTGGTTTCAGGTTGCAAGTTCATGGGCTTTCAAGCTGCTTGCAGCTAGGGATACTGCTAGGTGTTTCCACTCATCACTACACTTCATGCCTTTCCGGACCTTGAAAACGACTGGTTGGTAGAGGAAAACAGTCTTTCCGGGTCCCATTTTCCGGGTCCATGTGAGTTTTCGGGAGTGTACACCGAAGACCTATCTCCAGTCTCTTCGTGCTCGCCCAGCTCCCACGCTTTGGCCGCGAGACGGGTAAGTTCTCCACGAAGTCCAACTCACTAGAGAGCTTGGAAGCGAAGCTGATCTGCGCGGGGGTAGTCTAGAGGTGCCACCTGGGGTGCTCCCTGGGGTGCTCTTTTGAGAGATCCACAAGTAGTGCGGGGCTGCAGGGTAGTCTATTGGAGAACCCTTGGAAGGTGCTGGACGGAAATTCTGGGGATTTGATCTACAGGCCCCTGGAAAACCTATGCATTATATATTATATGGGTTCGGAGCTCACCTGCAACCCATTGCCATCGCTTGAAACACAAGGACGTTCACCACCCGACACGTTTGGATCCCAAACGGTTCCACCCGTCGACGCTCCGTGAGTTCACAGCCCTTTCCTGGTCCCGAACCAAAACCGATCGGGATTGGTTCGACCTGCCGGCCCCTCCAAAGGATTCGGGTCCGACCCCTCCAGAGGATTCGGGGCCGAACGGGTCGTGTCTGAACCAAACGCGCTCAACCCTTCGCTGCACGCTGTTTCGAACGCACACGAGCTCCCGCGACACGTGAAGCAGACAAACGGTCCTTCCACCAAACCGCAAGCTGAGTATTTCTCAGCGGAGCTTACACTAAGACTCAATCCGTTCATAGTCGCTCGGGTATAACTTATAATAAGACTATAGGAACATCCCCCATCGGTTTTGGTTCTTCCCGCAGGTCGTTGCCTGGGAGTTGCTATAATTACATACCCACTCGATGCCCAGAGTTGCCCACCGAAAACCCGTTTCAGACGGACCCGCGTCGCGAGGGGCGAAAAAGGGGTCGGCCGTGGGTCACACTGGGCCCGACGGAAAGTGAACAGAATGGATTACCAGACATGGTCAACCTAATAGGGATTGGCAGATCTGGGCTTCATCTGATCGGGGCTTTCAAACGCTTCGTTGTCGGCCCTGGCGGCTGGCCGGAGTCATCACAGCCGGAGTCATCGTGGCGCATCCATCGCAGAGTCTCGACTGACACGTGCAACAGCCATGGTATGACCGAAGCATCAGCAAGCCATGGAGCACTTTCAAAAGGATGAGAGCCCCCAGGATGAAGAGCAAATCACCCTCATAGGTGAAGTCACCGTCCAAGACAGGGAACATCTGCCCTGCCAAAGCAAGTACCACGTCTCGACCCTCGGCACTCCAACATGGCATCACGGCGCGAGTGGCGACCGGGAGGGTGGGATCAGAGCAAACCTCAAAGCCTTGGAAATAGAGCCCCTCAAACTCCAGCTTCACACCGCTTCGGAAGGTGTACTTCGAAGGTACCACATGGAAGAGCCAGCGCATCACATGGGGCACCTCCTCTGCATGTGCCAGCAAAGTTCCATTGAAGATCATGTTCAGAATCGTCTGCATGAGGAAAAGCATGATCCCGATGGCGCCCCCGCACCGGCCGCAGAGCTGTGCAAAGGTGTCGTTGAAACCCACGTATGCTGCCAGCAACAGCCACACCTGCGGTGAGGGTCGCAGCGGCGCGTCCAAGATCAGTACCGAGGGAATGAGCGCGGCCAGCGCCAGCAAAAACCAGATGGGCACATTCACCATCATGTCTGCCAGCAAATGTGCGAGTGGATGGTACCTCAGAGTCCCAAACAACAAAACCCCGGTTTTTGAGCAGTTCTATTCTATTATAGTATAGCTCTTGGAAGGGTCAGGGATCAAAGCCGAACCCAAAGAACACCAAAAAGAAGTCTCTGTTCAAGGCCGGGTACAGGCCATTCTTCACCTCCTTCCGAAAGCACTTGTGCTCCCGAGCAAAGTTGGGCACAGCACCGATGCAAAGGAAGGCAGGGAGTTGCTGCACCTAGCACAGCGCTGCGGTGGGAGCCCCTCTTGGAGTTGTTCCAAAACAGCATGGACGAGCATGGGCCGACTATAGTGACTGACTATAGGGAGCTCAACCAACAACTCCATTTACTGCGCGATAAAAAAAACCATGAGGTTTTCACTGTTGAGTCGTTTTTGGGGGGTGTTTTGAGTCGCATGGGATGCTTGCTCAGGAGCATCCGGAGCTCAGGAGCCGCTCCGGAAAGGTTCCCACCTTGCATTCCATCCCCAACCCATGCTGTGACTCAAGAAATAATACCTGGGCTCTGGTGGAAGAAGCAAAACATGGGCCCCCAAACTAGCACAGCCCAGTGTATCCCAGGCAAACCACAATATAAGGAACCAGGGATTTGTTTGGTTTATACGGTGTTAGTCGTTGCCTGGAACCACTGGTTACCAGCGACATCGTGGTAACTGGATGCCCTGGTAGTGCATTTAAGGGTGTCCATGTGTGGGGGAGTGTCCTTAAAATGTGAAAACACCCAACACTCGGACGAGGGGAGGACAGCGGGTCAGTGCAGGACCTGAAGCTCGCTCTTGAGCGTTCCGCTAAAAGGATTGTTTGGTGACTGGAAAAAACAACACCAGACATTTGTCTTGCAACCGCAAGCCCAAGAAAAAAGTCTATACCAGGACCCTCCAACAGGTCTCCTCTGGTGGCTTTTGGAGACTTAAAAGTCGCGGGTGGTGACCTGTTGGAGGGTGCTGGTAGATGTTGCTTTGGACCCACATCGACGCTCACATCCTGAAGTTCCAAGTCAGTCCCGGGAACCCACATCATGGCCCAGAGGTAATTCAAGACGCTCTCCTGCGTCCGCTTTCGAGCCCCAATGTATGCGACACACACGAAGGACACCAAGACAGCCGTCAGGATGGCCCGGCCGCCAAAGGCAATGGGATCGCGGCAATGGCTCTTCAGGAAGCGTCCCAAGAGCTTCCAGACCTGCTGGAGAAACCGAGCTCTGAGTCGACCCGGCGGCAGCTCTCGGCACAGCAACGGTGCTTCGGGCGCTTCCTTCCAGGCATCGCAGATCCAGTCCACCTGTCCGGCTGAAGCCGCGAAGTCGGAGTTGGTGATGCGGAGCAGGAAATCTGCGGGGTTGATCCCTGAAGCGCTGGGAAAGCCTAAGGTCTCAAAGTGCCGCAGCGCCTCCTCCGCCAGGCCGAAGTAGCAAACCCGGCCCTTGGCCAAGAGCAAAAGGCGGTCAAAGAGTTGGAAGACATAAGAGGATGGCTGGTGGATGGTGCAAATCGTCGCCAAATTGTTCGCCACGGAGATCTTCCTCAAGAGCTCCACAATGGCTTCTGCAGCTTTGGAGTCCAAGCCTGAGGTCGGCTCATCTAGCACCAAGACCGAGGGTTGCTTCAGCAATTCCACCGCCAAACTCACACGCCGGCGTTGCCCACCGGACACGCCACGAATCAGCAGTCCATCACCCACTTTGACGTGTTGACAAGAATCCAAGCCCACCTGACCCAACAACGTCTGCACATCCTGCTGGTGCTTGCTGCATGAGGCCTGACCCTGATACAGCGATGCTGCCAGGAAGAGCGTCTCAAAAACGGTGAGTGTCGGGCAACATGCGTCAGACTGCGCCACATAAGCGCAGCTCCTCCGAAAGACCGCGCGATTCAGCCTGTGGCTGTTGAGAAGCACTTCGCCTTCCCGATGCCCGCGACGCGCTTCTGAGGCCACCGCGTCCAAGAGCGTCGTCTTGCCAGCACCCGAACCACCCAGGATGGCCAGCACCTCGGAGCTCTTCACGTGCGCGCAGATGTTCTGCAAGAGAGACGTGCGATGTCCCCTCGACTCCACGTGAAAGCTCAAGTTTTGGATGGACAGTTCTGCATCGGCAGCCACGTAGGAGACACGTTTCGAGGATCTCTTTGAAACCTTCAGCGAAGAGGCAGGCTCGTCCGGACACCAGGTGTCGCTCTCCTCGGCGGTCTTCATCTCCAAAGAGTGGCTCCGGGGAAGGTCGGCATGGCAAGGAGCCCAAGGGGCCTGGTCCACATCAGTTGGGCGTCATCTTTGCAGAGCTGGAAGGTCCCAAACTTCATGATTTCCTACCTCGAGGGTTGACCGTGTTAGCGGCTGGCAATGTTAGCGCGGTGGTCGGTGGTCATAAACAGCTTGGGGCAAGATTGTTTGGTCCATGGACACCCCGACCAATCTCGTATGCTCCACCCCACGTATGAAGGTCCCCCGGTGGACTTACTTGTCTATCTATTTGGAGTTGCCATACTTTGCTGCCTTGTCACTGCTGTTGAGTGGCTGTCCGCATCTGCCAGCTAAAGCGTTCGAATGGCTTGCATTGGTCACGCACATCTCCTGCTGCCACTTCGCGCCACCTGCTTCGCAACACCTGCTTGGCCCACCCGGCTCGCCCAGCACACGCCCCTTTTTTGGCACCGGCCGTGCCGCGCACATCGCGCGTGGCACCACGTGGCCAACCTCCTCCGGGCCGAGGGTCTCAGCGTCTCTCAGGGGAGGGGGGACGTGGTACCAGTGGATAGTAGCGTCTTTCTTACCTTCGTAGCCATGCCAGGAGCCCCTAGTAGCGTCCTTGCTCCTAGCGTCCTTGCTCCTAGTAGTAAGGCCAGGAGCCCCTAGTAGCGTTCTTTATGATGCCAAGGTTCCAGGCCTTTTAGAAACTAATCATCGTTTACCGACAGCTCGACTGGTTTACTGGGACACACCCCGTCACCGCCTCACCGACGGGTTTTTCACATGGCCGAAAGCACACGAAACTCCAAACCCGGTCCCAGGCCTCGAGTAGCGGGCCAAAAGACGAGCAAATCATGCGAAAGATGCCCAGTAGATCCCAGTAGTATGTGTAAAAACATGTTTTAAAAAAAAGAACGCGTGTCACAGGCACAGCCGTTGGCAATCGCAAAGGTCAAAGGTCATTGTAAACACATACGAGTCACATACGAGTCAGTGGTTTCCCATGGTTTCGCACGTGTTGGATGTCTTAGTCTAGTCTGAGTCTATCTCTTTGGGATGTGGGGACACAGGATGCTAGATCCAACAGAATACACCTTTGCGCTATCACTAAATCCCGCAATAGGTTGTTTTTCCCAGAAATGAAGCTGCTTATGCCTTATAAAGTGGATTCCCTACCTAGTTGCTCCTGTGGTTTCGGGAATATAGCTTGCCCTACTTCTATATTACCCACCAATCATAAATATCTCATACCTCTCCAGCACACCTGATTTAGCA